GCAGCTCACACCCTGTTGTGATGCGCAGGAGCGGGCCAGGCCCCAGGGCCCAAGCAGGCCTTCAGAGCCTTCAGTCAGCAGCCATTTTACCAGCATTCACAGAAGCATCTCAATGAAGTAACAACCTGTACAAAAATAGTAGTATTTCTTCTACTGCTCTCTCTCTATATATTTATAGAGTTATATATAAAAGTATATAGATATACTTTCTTAAAAACACAAATAATACCCTCTTATAAAGATGTGTAGGTTTCCCTGTCTTTGGACACCTAAGAACTAACTGGAGGCCAAGAAACATGGATTTGGAGAAATCTGCGGCCAGCTTGCTCCCTGCAGGCTCAAGACCAACCATCCCACACAGGCCCTTGCTGGTGTGGCTCAGTGGATTGAGTGTGGGCTGTGGACCAGAGAGTCACCGGTTCAATTCCCAGTCAGGGCACATGCCTGGGTTGTAGGCCAGGTCCCCAGTATGGGGTGTGCGAGAAGCAACCACACACTGATAGTTCTTTCCTCCTCTTTCTCCTTCTCTTCCCCTTTCTCTAGGAATAAATAAATAAAATCTTAAAAAAGAAATCCTACACAGGAAAAAAAAGAAAAGCAACATGAACATGAACAGATTGAAGCTAATTTTTAAATAAATGGGCATATAATCTCAGTTTTACAAGGTGAATAAGTCCTAGAGGTCCACTGCTGTGCACAATTCTCCTCTAATTAATGATACTCTCTTGTACACCTAAAACTGTTAAGAGGATAGATCTCACGCCCTGGCTGGGTGGCTTGGATGGAGCATCACCTTGTACACCAAAAGACTGTGGGTTTGATCCTGTCGGGGTACGTGTGGTAGGAAACTGACCAATATGTCTCACATCGATTTCTCTCTCTGCCTTCCTCTAAAATCAATAAAGACATCCTCAAGTCAGGATTTTTTTTTTTTAAAAAGGGGGTAGATCTCATGTTCAGTGTTTTTGCCCACAAGAGAAATGCCATTTTAAAGGCAAACTATTATACATGTAAGCTTTCTACTTTCTGCAGTTTCTTGCCTCTCTTATGCTTTTATATACCATGTAATAAATTCCACTGAAGTTGTATTTCTTCAACAACAACAAAAAATCAATGGAAAAAATACAAAAATGACAGTGCACAGTAGATACTGTTGTCAATTGTTTTGTCATTTAATGCTGCAACTCAGGGCATCTTCTGTTATTGGTATCTGCAGCTTTCCCTCACCATTTCTTACCCAGACAGATCCTAATGTGTTTATCCAAACTTCTAAGGACAGATCCTTGGGTGTTGTCAATGTTTTCTGTCTTCCAAGCACAGCTCCACTGAGCCCTGGACTAAAAGGACACTGTCCTGTCCCCCAATATCTATAGAGCTATCTTCTTGTTATGGGAGAAACTCAGTTCTTTTTTTTTTCTTGATTGAACACACACAAATATATGCATATATATTTAGATTTATTTATTTATTTTTAGACCGAGGGGAAGGGAGGGAGAAAGACAGGGACAGAAACATCAATGTGTGATTACCTCCCACACACCCCCTACTGGGGATCTGGCCCGCAACCCAGGCATGTGCTCTGACTAGGAATTGAACCGGCAACCCTTTGGTTTGCAGGCCGGTGCTCCATCCACTGAGCCACACCAGCCAGGGCTGCACATGTATACTTAACAACAGTTTTACACAGACTTCCAAGAGCACTTCATTATTTTACAGAACTTGAAACGTGAACTTTCTATTACTATTCTTACCATAGCACAGCCTAACCTAATTTCCAACTAAATACACTGCAATTTGTTTAAAGTTTAAATGCTTAAGGGAAATAATGAGAGGAGAGAAAGCGTACATTTGTTTTACATAAATGAATGAAAAATAAACTCAAGAAATAGTCAACAAAATTTAATATGGCCTCATGTGCCCTGAAGGAGGTGGTGCCCGATTCTCGGAGGGTAATTGCTATCTCCAGATAATCTCCAATCTGAAACTTCTGAGATTGCAGGGTCATGGAATCTTCTGTCCCCATTCCGGGCATGGTTCTGCCAATCTCCTTTACTTGATAGCCAGGTCTTCTAATATCCACAAAAACAACTACAAAATTGAAGTGTGTGCCCTTCCTCCTAGCTTCTGGGTAAACTTCTTTTACTAATTAGTTCTTTCAAGGTGGCAGCCATCCAGGTGTAGATCTGCAGCTTCCTGGAGGGCACGTTCCCACCAGAGAACACAGCCATGTGGTGGTGGCGCCCCCTGGTGTTGGTTGAAGACACAACAGCAGAAAGAACATCTTGTTGATTGGCTTCTCCAATTCTTTCTTAATTTCCTCCTGGGTGATGAGCGACTCCACCACCTTCTTCCTCCTGTGGCCTGCTAGATGATCTGAAACTCAGTTCTTTTTGCCAATGCAGTAAAGAATTAAAAATCAGCAAGTCAACTGGCGTGCAAGCGGAATTTATTGGTGGTACATTCTCATGGAAGAGAATGGGTCTTGCTGAGGTGGGGGAGAAAGGCAAGAGCAAGGGTAGCTAGACCATCAGGTCCTTTGTCCTGAGGACTTATGTAATTGGCAGGATGGGGTGAAGAAGTTACATATTGATTGACAGGTAAAGGTGGTGCCAGCTTTCCTAGTGGGACGTGACTAACCAAATTTAGGTAGGTGTGGGGGTCTATTGGTCCTAATCTTTGGAACAGACTCTATTTCTTCATCTTGTTGTAAAACAGAAATGTGATAGGAGGCAATTAATAAAATCTGTTTGGAACAGACTCTAATCTTTTGGAACAGACTCTATTTCTTCATCTTGTTGTAAAACAGAAATGTGATAGGAGGCAATTAATAAAATCTGGGGCAGTTACCCAGAGTTATTTATGGGCTCTTACTGTAAGAGATAGTTACCAGAGGTAGGCAATTAATAAAAGTTGTTTTGTGGGCATCTTCTTTGGGCACTGTGGACGCCCCTCCCACCTTCCAGGCCTTGGGATGAATATATAATTTCAAAGCCTTTCTTTGCAACATAGAAATCATGCACAGAATTTCAAGGGCTCTCTTCTCCCATGCTAACATAGTGTTTCTGACGATGTTGGAACACCTGGCAATATAATCAGACCAGGCTCAAGACTGATGAGTTAGTAGGTGAGACATGTCTCCCACCTCCTCCCTGCCTTGGTTCACTAACCTACCTAACATTCTCTTTGCAGACTGGGGCTGTATTCCAATGTCACCTTCTGAAAGAAGTCCTACTTCACCACCAGAGCTGAAACAGCCCCTCCCTTCACTTTCTACCTCGTCATCTGTGATCTGTCAGTAATGACTAGTGGGGGCTCCGTCAGACAAGGGAGGTTTGCCCACTGCTGGACTACTAGCACCTGGAATAGTACCAGGCACAGAAGAGGCACTCGAATGTTTGTTAAATGGTTCGTTGGTTTACCTGAAGCCTCTGATCTCTTGAGATTCCTGCTTATCAGAGGGTTTGGAAATTCTAGGTTTTCATGTATTAGTCATCCACTTTCTTAATTCTTCAAACAGTGTACCCCCTCCCCCCACTAAGTGGGAAAAAAACTCAGGCTCCTTCTTTACCCAATTACCTCCCCCACACATACCTATCACATGAACCTCCCTGTGTCACATTGAAAAAATGGAAAAAATGCCAGCTTCACACTTGCCTCTCCTCCTCCACTTCTCACCACCTCTCAGCCCCTTGGGAAAGCAGGTGATCACCTGTAAGGACACATTCCCTTCCAGGCATCTCTTTAAGAAACTTGGGCCAAAGGAAAATTCCTTCTATGAAATTACATGCCATGGGGAATGTTTACTGGGTAAATGAGCATCCATGATGAAGGAGATAGGAAATCTATTGAGCCTCCTGTGAGGGTGGTGGTAGTGGTGTGTGTGTGTGTGGTGGAGAGATGGGCAGATGTAATTTCCTGCTAATATTTCTCTCTGATCATGGGAGACTAGCACACCCCAGGGAAACCTGTTCTGATAAGAACCATGAGACATGGTTGTACTTAAACCTCCTACCCATCTTAGAAAGTGAGGATTCAATTATTACGATGATGAGTCCTGGCTGGTGTGGCTCAGTGGATTAAGTGCTGGCCTGCAAACTAAAGGGTCATCGGTTTGATTCCTAGTCAGGGCACATGCCTGTGTTGTGGGCCAGGTCCCTAGTAGAGGGCATATGAGAGGTAACCACACATTGATGTGATCACACATTGTGATCTTCCTGTCTTCCTCTCTTTCCCCTTCCCTTAAGTTCTAAAAATAAATAATATTTTGAAAAAAAAAATTTTTTCATAGGGGAAGGGAGAGAAAAGGAGGAAACATCAATGTGTGGTTGCCTCTCATGCACCTCTACTGGGGACTGGACCTGCAACCCAGTCATGTGCCCTGACTGGGAATCAAACTAGTGACCCTTTGTTTCAATGTCCAGTGCTCAATCCACTGAGCCACACCAGCCAGGGCAAAATCTTTTTAAAAATTATTAGAATGATGACATATAATGGAACTTTCTATGTGTAAAAAATTTTTCTAAATGCTTCCCTGTATTACTCAATTTGTTCTTCACAACACTATAAGGTACATACCATCCTTATCCCCATTATACAGATGAGGAAACTAAGGTCAGAGAGGAGTTCTTTCAAAAGATCCCACAACAGGCCCTGGCTGGTGTGGCTCAGTGGATTGAGCACTGGCCTGAGAACCAAAAGGTTCACAGTTCAATTCCCAGTCAGGGCAGATGCCTGGATTGCGGGCCAGATCCCCAAATGGGGGTGTGCGAGAGCCAACTAAGTGCAATTGGTGCTATGGCTTTTAAGAGGACTCATCACATTTTAAAAATACACGGAAGCTTTAGAATATGTAGTAAAAAATATCCCAGGCTTTATTTACTTAAAATTTTTTTCTTTTATTATTTCTAGAATGAGGGGAAGCAAGGGAGAAAGGAAGAGAATCATCGACGTGAGAAACATTGACTGGTTGCCTCTTGCATGCATCCAGACTGGGAACCGAACCTGTGACCCAGGCGCGTGCTCTGATTGGGAATTGAACCCACAATCTTTCAGTTTGTGGGACAATGCCCAACCACGTAAGCCACACCAGCAAGAACAAAAATAGCTAAAGCTTTAGAGCTGCACAGTCCAATGCAGTAACCAGTAGCCAGAATTAACTATGAAAACATAAATTTATTAAAATTAAACAAAGTCCAGATCACATAAAAGAATCAACCAATGAATGCATAAATAAGTGGAATGACAAAAGCTTTTTAATCTCTCTCCTTTCCTCACTCTCTAAAATCAATTTAATAAAATTAAACACTGGTAAAAATTCAGTTCTGAGGCTACACTGGCCACACATCAAGTTCAATGCCCCTTGTAGCCAGTGGCCCCCACATGGACAGCACAGTTTTCTGTCCCTGCAGAAGTGCTGGGGGCGGCCCTGCTCCAGCAGGTCCCAGCACGTGTTGTAGGAACCGTGTGTGAATTAGCTCAGAAAACCCACTTAACATCACAGGGCAGATTCCCTTACTCAATCTCCTTACAGATGAGGGTACCGGGCTCAGAAAATGCCCGCACTGGTCGGAGCACACAGCTGGGGTGTGAGCCTGGGCAGACCTGGTGCCAGAGTTCCTGCTCCCAACCCGTTCCAGTCAGTCACCCACTTCTTCCTGATCTTGTCAGCGCTGCTGCATGGTTCCCCTTCCTTCCCTCCTTTCCTTGTTCCTCTCCTCTCCCTGTCCAAGTGTCCAAGTTCCTCTCCCTTCACTTGTTGAGGCCCACCATATCTGGGATGGGGGAGGGGGTAAATGGGAGTGGCCTCCAGACCACACAAGCTGATACTGTGCTCTACCCAGGAGTATGGGGTTTGAGCACCTCCCCACTAAGAAGCTTGCCTTTGAGTCAGACAGCCTGCTGTGTTCACTGGCCCCCAGATTTTCATCCTGTGAAATATTAGAGCTCTGAGCCTTGGTTTCATCAGAGGAAAGCCTGGAATAGTAACAGGGCTCTGAGTAGTAGTGAATTACCCATCTATTAATAAATACTTTGTGTAATGTTGTTAATAGAGCACCATTTTTATATTGCTTGCTATTTATTATTGGTAATAGGTTGCTATCAACATCAATAATGAGATATTAAGTACACCATGACCTAGGCTGTGGGTGAGGCACAGACAAGGTAATGCCCCCATCTGACTGAAGAGACTTTATTTTCACAAGAATTCCCACAGGCACAAGGAGGTGGGGGATTACCTGTGGTCGGAGACAGGACTGTTCTCCTGTAAGGGAAACAGCTCTGATGGGAGGGAGGGGGTAGTCTGGCTGGCTTACAACAGGGGGGACCCTTCCCCTGATCTCTGAGGCCGAGGGTCTGGGCCCTGCCTTCTGGTCTGAGCTTTCCCAAGTCAGGAATCCAGGGCTGAGAGGGGCAGGTGGCCTCATACCTGGGTCAGCATTGCTGGCTTTCGGGGGTTCTGGTGGGGAATTCATGCCCCCTCCCCCCAGGCGCTGACACTCACGACACTCATTTTTGACACGACAACCTGCACCTGTATCTTTTGCCCCTTAAGAGTGTTTAAAATGGCATTGGTTCCCATTAATTAAAAGTTTCATTAAAAATAATTGAACAGACCACTATGTGAAACTTGGGCACATGAAGCAATTAGTTACTTTCTAATGCTGACAAAAAGAATTTTTTCCCCTCATGAACCACATGGAAACTGCTCCTGCTGCAGGGAAACTGGAGGCTGGGTGTGGGAAGATGAGGAAACCAAGGGATGGCAACAACCTGACCTCTGCACTACATCCAGGTGTGTGTGACAAGGAGAATGTCCCCATGGAGCCCACCTCCCCAGAGTTTCTTTCTTCTTCCCCTCCCCCACTTTACAATCCAGGAGATGGAGACCCAGAGACACTATTGCATTCTCTAAACTCATATGTCAAGTTTATTTGAGCTCAATCTCCAGCCACAGAGCCCTTGGCCACGCTCCCAGATACCAGACCTACAGAGAGCTTGCTTTCCTCATGGCCCTGCAGATGCTCTAGAAGCAGCTTGTGTGTATGGCGTGGCCTCTCCCCAGAATCCACATGCCTAATACCCATCTGGACAGGACTTCTCTTGAGTCCTACCTGTAAGCTCCAATGTCAAGCCTGGCAGTGGCCCACGGGCTCAGGATCAGCCTGTTGGGTGTGAATTTTGACATCCCATGCTCCCCCTGCCCGCCCCCAATACAGGCACATCCTTCTCAGGTGTCCCAGAGGTAGATGGTCAGGCTAAACATCTTCTCTCCCTTGCCATGCTCGCAGGGCTTCTCTTCCCTATGGATCCTCTAGTGCAGGGTGAGCAAGTAGTTCCTATAAAAGGCCTTGCCACACTGGCTGCACCTGTAGGGCTTCTCCCAGGTGTGGCGGTGTGCCACAGGAACGAGTGCTCTGCGCAGTGCATCTGTCAGATGGAGCACTTGTCGGGCCTGTCCTCGGGGTGCAAGCACAGGTATAACATGAGGAAGAAGTTCTTCCTGAAAGTCTTTCCACACAGGCTACACTGGGAGGCCTTCACCCCCTTTTGGTAGCACTGGTGCTGGATCAGCCAGGTGTTCTCGCCGATGCATCCACTGGTGCATCCATCAGATGCATGCTCTGGCTGAAGGCACTCCTGCACAGGGCACACTTGGATTGCTTCTCCCCATTGTGTGTCTTTGTTGCACAATGAGCTGAGCGCTCTGCTGAAGGCCTCGCCATAGTTCCCACACATGGAACGCTTCACCCAGTATGCACACGCTGGTGGACCGTGAGGTTCGACTGCTGGGTGAACTGCTTCCCACACAAGGTGCATGAGAAGGGCTTCTCTCCAGTGTGAATTTGTTGGTGCTTCTTCAGAATCGAGTTACAGCTAAAAGCTTTGCCACACTGCACACACTGGTATGGCTTCTCCCCAGTGTGGATGTGTTGGTGCATATTTAGGCACAATTTGTAACGGAAAGCCTTTCCACACTCCCTGCACTCATAAGGCTTGTCCCCAGTGTGGATTCGTTGGTGATTCTTCAAGCATGAGCTATAGCGGAAAGCCTTGCTGCACTCCCTGCACTCATATGGCTTCTCCCCAGTGTGAATTCGCTGGTGCGTCCTCAGTGATGAGTTACAGCCAAACGCCTTGCCGCACTGGCTGCACTTGTAGGGCTTCTCACCGGTGTGCACACGCAGGTGCTGCATGAGTAAGAAGTTCTTGCTGAAAGTCTTTCCACAAATGCTGCACTTCAAGGGCTTTACCCCCATGTGGATGCGCTGGTGCTCGATCAGGTAGGCATTCTGGCTAAAAGTCTTGCCACAGTGGCCACACGAGTAGGGCCGCTCACCCGTGTGGGTGCCCAGGTGCAGCCTAAGAGACGAGCTCCTGTTGAAGGCCTTGCCACACTCTGGACACATGAATGGCTTCTCGCCTGTGTGTGTTCGCTGGTGCACAATGAGATGCTTGTTCTGGCTGAAGGACCTGCCACAGTCCCCACACATGTATGGCTTCTCCCCAGTGTGCGTCCTCTGGTGACGAACGAGATGAGCCTTCTGGCTGAAAGCCTTGCTGCACTCCACACACGTGAATGGCTTCTCCCCAGTGTGCGTCCTCTGGTGCACAGTGAGGTACTTGTTTTGGCTAAAGGCCTTCCCACAGTGCCCACACATGTACGGCTTCTCCCCGGTGTGAGTGCTCTGGTGCACGATAAGGTGCTTGTTCTGGCGGAAGGCCTTCCCACAGTCCACGCACACATATGGCTTCTCCCCAGTATGCACACGCTGCTGATCCATAATTGGGGAGTTGTGGCTGACAGCCTGGCTGCACTCCGGGACCACGAGTGGCTTCTCACCCCTGCAAGTCCTCTGGTGCATGATGAGGTACTTGTTCCTGCTGAAGACCTTTCTGCAGTCCCCAGAGGTGAACAGCTTCTCCCCAGTGTGCACACGCTGGTGGATGGTGAGGGAAGACGTCCAGGTGAACTGCTTCTCGCATGTGATGCATGAGAATGGCTTCTCCCTGGTGTGAATTCGTTGCTGCTCCTTCAGGGACAAATTATAGCTGAAAGCTTTGCCACAGCCCCCACACTCATAGGGCTTCCCCTCTGCATGGAGTCTGGAGGGAGGACCGAGGCTGGAAGTACCTGAGTCCTTCCCACACATGGTGAACGGGTACATCCCCACTCCTCCCAGTCCTTCAGGTCTCAGTGGGTCTGGTGTGGGGCTTTGGTGGACAAATGCCTTAAATTCAAGATATTCGGGGGATAACATTTGGGACATGTCCAAGCACCCCAGAGAAGTCCTCAGGCTCCCCTGTCGCTGCCCCACTAGGTCGCCCTGTATCCCTGCTCCTTCACAGGCAGAATCCTGGGCACCATTCCTTGTGGGTCCTTCTGCCACAACAGCAATGGATGGTCTGTCTTTCCAAATGTCCTTCTGTGGGTCCAATTCTTTCATTTCAGGACTAGTCTCCAAGTCTGAGGGAGGGGAAAGAGATGACAACACACATGTAGTTAACCACACTGGGAGGGGGGACCTTCTCAAGGTGCAACAAGGCACAGCCTGAGAGCAGGGGACAGAGGAAGAAGTGAGATAGTGAGATTTACAGAGGTTAGTTCAGGGTGAAAGGTCCCCTTGGGAGTGGGTACAAAGGTGGCGGCCAGCAGAGCTCAGAGCTGGGAGGACAGGCCCCAGGAGAGAAAGAGGAAAATGGCAGGCTTGGAGGATTGGACCAAAGGCTCCCACAAACCCAGTGGGGAGTCACTGCACGGGGTGAAGGGGCTTCTAGCTTCCAGGCCCCATTCTGCACAACCCCAGTCAGCTGTGCTTCTCAAAGCATCAACAGTTACTAGAAACAAAAAAGGGCTGACTCTCACTTAGGTGCTGGTTGTCCTGTTTCCCCACTGCCCAGCCAAGCTCCTGCCTTTCTACACTGCCCAGGAGCAGCCTGGCCCTAGCAGCTGACTACTTACCCCTCCTCTCTAAATACTCGTGCCTCCATGCTGACCACAGCCACTCCAGTCCCCTCTTGCGTGTGCCCTGTGGGTTCTTCAATCTGTTTCCAGCCTAGGGGCTGTCCTGAGTTCAGGACTCTGCATATGGACCTCATAGTTCATCCCAGTATTTAAAAACTGTGAGACATTACACAACACTCTGATAAGAAAAAGTGGAGATCTGGCCACATGGAGCTCTCCCCTCCAGGAAGCAACAAAGAGATAGGGAGTGGTAAGCAGTTGCCCTGCTCCCCTCATTTAAGCCCACAGTGGACCCCAAACCAAAGTTTAACTACCCTCCCGTAAGCCACAGGAGCCTGGATTTCAGTCTCTTGTCTATGCTGACACCTCCTAAATGGATGCTCCCATCCAGACTTCCTCTGAGCTCTGCTGAGGAGTAACCCAAGTCCTACTGCGCACCTCTTGGGTATCACAAATCTAATGCTTTTGATGCAAGACCTGTGCTTTTGGAACATCTATTCCTAAATAATAAAAAGGCTCATCAAAACACACTTAGCAAAATAGTTCAGCGACACAGTGATGAATTCTGTATGATTCCACTCATATGAGGCAACTGGAACCATCAAATTTATACAGACAGAAAGCAGGACATGTGTGCCAGGCTCAAGGAGGGTGGATGGGGATCTGGTCTTTAGAGGTGACAGAGTGTCAGCTGGGAATTATTAAATAGTTCTGGAGATGGACAGTGGTGATGGTTGAACAACAATGTGAATGTGCTTAGTGCCACTAACATCTACTCCTAAAATTAAACGGTCTATTTTGTTGCATATATTTTGTGAACATTAAGGAAATAAAAAATTTTTAATTAAAAAAAAAAAAAAGAATTACAAGTCATCCTTGGCTCACTCGTTCCCTCCAGACTGTCCAGACTGTTAACAAATGCCACTGCACAGGAGAACACTTTGAACTGGACCAGACCGATGCACCTCCACTGCCGCAATTCAGCAGCCTCCCCCACTCTCTACAACCCACTGTCCACTCCATGGGAAGAGGAGCTCAGGAGTCACACCAAAACCTCCAGCACCTTCCCAGTACTGGGGGGGACCACAGGCAATGCCTGTTCACTCTCCTGACCCCTCTCTTCCATCCAGCGTCATACATCCTATGGTTCGCTTTCATTTCCTTGTCCATGCCCAGTGTTTCCTGCCTCAGGGCCTTTGCACCTGCCCTTACTCTGACCTATTCTTCCACCTACCACTTCCTCCTCTCCCCCTTTAAGCTCCTCCCCCTACATTTGCCCCTCCCACCACATCAGAGGAAGGGGAGGTAGGTGTGACCTCCAGGCCCCAGGAAAATAGACCTTGCAGTTCTGGAAAGATGGCTGCTGGAGTCCATAGGGCAGGTTCACTGGCCCCTGGTGTTTTTCTCATGCAAAGTATTAGCACCCTGAGCCTTGGTTACCTCAGTGGAAACCCCAGGATAATTACAGGGCTCTGAGTAGTAGTTAATTACTCATTTATTAATAAACACTTTATGTATTATTAATTGGGCACCATTCTTATATCATTTGCTATTTATTATTGGTAACAGATTGCTATCAACATCAATAATGAAATCGTAAGTACACCATGACTAAGGCTGAGGGTAAGGCATAGGTTGAATGTGCCCTCCAGACTGAAGGCACTTTATTTTCACAAGAATACCAGCCAGCAGGGGGTGGGTGGCAGACAGTCTGTATGTGAGAGACTTTTCTCCAGTGACTGAAACAGCCCTGTGGGGAGGGGTGCCACCTAAGTGGGTTTCTTCAGGAGACCCTCAACCCATCTCTGACTCTGGGGGTCTGAGCCCTGCCACCTGGTCTGACCATTCCCAAGCCAGGAATTCAGGGCTGGGGGCAGCAGGTGTCCTCATACCTGGGGCAGGCTTGCTGGGTTCCCAGGGTTCCTGTTGGCAATTTGTGCCCCCACTCCGAAGTACTGACACTCATTTTGACAGACAACTGCTATTTATATCTTTTACATCTGATGGTTCAAAATGATGTGGAATGATCTCCCTCATTAAAAGTTTTATTTAAAAAATAATTTTTAGCCCTGGCTGGTGTAGCTCAATAGATTGAGCACTGGACTAGGGAGCAAAGGGTCGCCAGTTTGATTCCCAGTCAGGGCACATGCCTGGGCTGCGGGCCAGGTCCCCAGTTGGGTGTGCATGAGAGGCAACCACACATTGATGTTTCTCTCCCTTTCTTTCTTACTCCCTTCCCCTCTCTCTAAAAATAAATAAATAAAATATTTTAAAAATAAATAAAATTTAACAGAACACTAAAATTTAACAGGACCTAGTCCTCTTGGTCCTTCTGATCTTGGTAGGGCTGCCATGGTTCTTTGGTGCACAAATGCCTTAAATTCATGACATTCATGGACTAATGCTTGGGACACGTCAAACCTCCCCAGATAAGTTCCTGGGCTCCCCTGTTGTCACCCTACCCAGTCATGCTGTGTCCCTGCTCCTTCACAGTCACAAACCATTCCTCATGGGTCCTTCCACCCAGCAACAGATGGACTGTATTTCTACGTGTCCTCCTGTGGGTCCAATTCTTTCATGTCAGGTCTACTCTCCAAGTCTGAGGAGAGGGGGAAAGAGATGATGACACACATGTAGTTAACAAAGCTGGGAGGGAGGACCTTCCCAAGGCATGACCAGGTAGTCTCAGGACAGGGGACAAACTATCGTGGGGCAGGCAGAAAGGAAAGTAGTAAGCTGACACAGTGAGGTGTAGGAGGTGAGCACAGACAAAAAAGTCCCCTTGGGAGTGGGTGCAAAGGCGGCCAGGAGAGCTCAGAGCTAGGCAGATAGACAGCAGGAGAGAATCTGGCGGAAGATGGGCTTGAAGGAGCAGATCAAAGGTTCCCACAAACTCAGTGAGGATTCCCTGCACATGGCTCCTCGCTTCCAGACTCCACCCTGGACATTCCATCTGTGCTTCTCAAAGGAATGTCTTTTATTAAAAATGATCAAATAAGAGCTGATTCTCGTGTGGGTGCTGGTTGTCCTCTGTCTCCCCACTCTCCAGCCTAGCTCCTGTCTTCATGCACTGCCCAGGAGCAGCCTGGCCCTGACAGCTGGGTCCAGACCCCTCCACTCTGCACACTCATCCCTCTGTGCTGATCACAGCTGCTCCAATTCCCTCTTGCTTGTGTCCTGTGGATTCTTCAATTTCTGTTTCCAGCCTAGGAGCTGTCCTGAGTTCTGGACTCTACACATGGACCTCGCGGTTCATGCCAACATTAAAAACCATGATATCTTACACAAAAATCTCATTACAAAATTGAGGATCCTGTCACAATGAGCCCTCCTTCCTAAGAGGCAACAAAAAAAGCAGGGTTGGTAAGCAGCTGTTCCCCTCCCCACATTTAAGTTCCCATTGAGCCTACAACCCCTGAGGTGGAGACCCCTCTGCTGAGTCACGAGAGTCCTGTTTCTGTCTCTTCTCTATGCTGACACCTCCTACATGGATGCCCCTGCCCAAACCCCCGCTCTGAGCTCTGCTAAGGAATAATCCGAGACCTTGTGTGCCCCTCTTGGGTATCATAAACCTAACACATTTGATGTGAGTCTGTGATTTTAGAATTCTTTCCCAAATAATAAAAAGGAAGGCTCATTAAGAGACTTGGCCAAATAATTCAGACGCACAATGACTGACACCTTATGATTTCACTCATATAAGGCAACTAGAATCATCAAAGATAGAGACAGAAAGGAGGACATAAGTGCCTGGGCTCGGGGAGGGGGATGAGGAGGTGTTGTTTGGAGGGGACAGATTGTCAGTTGAGGACGTTAAAAGAGCTCTGGAAATGGATGGCAGTGAGCAACAATGTGAATGTACTTCATGCCACTGAACTATACACCTAAAAGGAGTTAAATGGTCAATTTTATGTTATATATATTTTGCAACAATAATTTTTTAAATTAAAAAAGATCTAGCAGTCATCCTTGATTCACCCCTTCCCTCCCACTGTCCAGACTGTTAACAAATGCCACCGCACAGGAGAACACCTTGAACTGGACCAGACTGACGCACCACCACGGCTGCAATGCAGCAGCCTCCCCCACTCTCTACAACCCACTGCCCACTCCGAAGGAAGAGGAGCTCAGGAGTCAGACCTAACCCTCCAGCACCTTCCCAGTACTGGGGCGGGGGGGACCACAGGCAATGCCTTCCCACCATCCTGACTCCTCTATGCCACCCAGCCCCACTCATCCTTGTTTCCCTTTGATTTCCTTGTCCATGCCCAGTGCCTGTCTCAGAGCCTTTGCACCTGCCTTTCTCCCAGCCTTCCCATGGGCACTCATCCTTGAGCCTCACTGAGCCTTTGTCCCCCACAGGGAGGCCTTCTCTGTTCATGCTGCTGTACAAAGGAAGCTCCCACCTGCCACTCTCTTACCTGCATCACTGTGAGAGCCCATTAAGGCATTCTTCCTCCATGTGCACACTGACAGATCCCGCAGTGGGAAGTTATCTCCATGAAGGCAAGGGCCTTATTGGTCCTCAGTTCCTGCACAGTGTCCAGCACATGGAAGGTGCCTGATAAACCTTCACCAACCATCAGCCACTTGCTGGCATGGTACAAAGTAGCCCTCACAGCACGTGAATAGGTGCTGGTAAGATTACACCCATTTTACAGATGGGGAAACCCAGGCTCTGAGAATGGAGCCACACCCTCAAGGTCACCCAGCGCATTCTATCATGTGGTCCAATCCCTGAGTCACTATCTGGACACCTGTCACTGTCCCATCCCAGAGGAAAGGATTTGACAAGTATCTTACATTGGAGAACGATCCTGGTTTCCTGACCCTGAGGTGTGGGGTGATACCATAGAAGGTGGTGGGTGGCCTGGGACATGGAGGCTGAGGGTAATGTTCCAGAGGGTAGAGGGAATGAGGGTGATAGTGGGTGTGTTTGGAGCCCATGGGTCTCAGACATGCTGGGGACATAATTGGCCAGTAAATTCAGAGATTGGACAGAGAAGAATTATGGTTGTGAATATGGTTAGAAGCAAATCCTCAAAGAAAGTAATTCATAAACTAGACTTCATCAAATTACAAATATCTTCTCATCAACAAATGATGTGGGGGCCCTGGCTGCTGTGGCTTAGTGGATTGAATGCCAGCCTGTAAACCAAACGGTCACTGATTGGATTCCTGGTTGGGGTGCTTGCCTGGGTTTCGGGCCAGGCCTCCAGTGGGGGACGCACAAGAGGCAACCACACACTGGTGTTTCTCCTCTTCTCTTTCTCTTTCCCTTCCCCTCTAAAAATAAATAAATAAAATCTTTAAAAACAAAAACAAAAACAGAAAAAACACACAAATGGTTCCAGGGCACTTGGATATCCACATTCAAAAGAGCGATGATACGTGGTGATGGGAGGTGATGTGACTTTGGGTGGCGGGTACGCAATGTAACATACAGATTGCTTATCCTAAAAGTGTACACTTCAAACCTATATGATCCTATTACCCAATGTCACCACAATCAATTTAATTAAAAAAAAATGGTGATGTTAGATCCTTTTTACATCATTCATAACAATTAACTCAAATTAGACCAAAGACACAAATAAAGAGGGAAATTCTAAAACTCGTAGAAGAAACAGGAGTAAATCCTCATGGCCTTGGTTTAGGCAACAGTCTCTCAGATATAACACCTAAAGCACAAGTAACAACAAAATAAATAAGTTGGACCCCATCAACATTGAAAACGTTTGTGTTCCAAATGATGCCATTGAGGAAGAGAAAAGAGGACCCACAGAATGGGAGAAATAGTTGTAAAGTGCATGTCTCATAAAGGTCTTAGAGCAAGAATTAACAACAAAAGAATATATAAAGAATTTTCAAAGTGAATAATAAGGAAGCAAACAACCTAAGTAAAGACACAAAGATTTGAACCAGGCACTACACCAAAGAGAATATACGGATGGGAAATAAGCACCTGGAAAGCTTCTCAGTATCATCTCGGAGCTGGGTTGTGGAAAGACTGCACACCCACGAGAATGGCTGCAATGAGAGGGACTCAGCATGTTCAGTTCTGACAAGAACACAAAGCAATGAAATTCCCAGCAAGTGCTGGTAGATATAAAAAACAAGACAACTGTTTTGAAAAAAGTTTGGCAGATTCAAAAAGTAAAACAGGCACCTATATATGACCCAACCACCCTCCACAGAAAGGACAGATTGTGTCTACAGAAAAATATCCAGAACTGGAATCAACCCACATGTTTACCATCAAGTGAAGGGATAAACACATTGTGGTCTCTCCATGAAGTAGAATATTACTCAGCAATAAAAAGAAGTAAACTACTGACCTGGCTGAAGGGCTCAGTTGATTGGAACTATGTCCCCAGCACCAGAAGTTTGTAGGTTCAGTCCCATCAAGTTCTGTATGGGAAGGCAACTGATTCATGTTTCTCTCTCCCTCTCAAATGCATAAATGTATCCTCAGGTGAGGGGTTAAAAAAAGAAAAATAGCCCTGGCTGGTGTGGCTCAGTAGATTGAGTGCAGGCCTACAAACAAGCTGGTTTGATTCCCAGTCAGGGTACATGCCTGCAATGGGGGCCTGGTCCCCAGTGCAGGGTGCATGAGAGCCAACCACACATTGATGTTTCTGTCCCTCTCTTAAAAATTTTTTTAAAGAAAAAAAGAAAAACAAAATAATGAAGGGAACTATTGATATATATGGACAACATGGGTAACTCCCAAAAACATGATACCGTCCCGGGTGGTATGACTCAGTAGATTCAGCGCCACCCTGCAAACCAAAAGGTCACTGGTTTGATTCCCAGTCAGGGCACATGCCTGGGTTGCAGACCAGGGCACCAGTTGGGGTGTGCGAGAGCCAGCTGAGCAATGTTTCTCTCCCTCCCTTTCCCTCTAAAAATAAGTAAATAAAACCTTAAATAAAAAACAATAATACCACTTGTAAGAAGTCAGATTTTAAAAAAGGTATGTACCATATGATTATATAGATATAAAATTCTAGAATAGGCAATCTAAACCAGTCTCACCAGGGAATGGAGAGTGGGTGAAATGGAAGGAAAACTTTTTGGGCTAATGGACATGTCTGCATCACGACAATGATTTCTCGGGTGCATATAAATATCAAAATGCAACAAAATGTTAGCATTAACTATGTGCAGTTAGTTTTAGGTCAGTTAAACCTCCATAAAAGCTGTTAATGAAATGGAACTATACACTAATTGTGAAAGTTAGTGTTTTTCCTGAACAATGTTATCCAGGGAAATCTCTCTGTGCCAGTGACTACAAAGGGTGCTCATCTTCCAAGATCTCTGTGATTTCATCATATAGCTACACCCTAATCTGTTTGATCAGTCTCATAGGTGCGAAACTAGGGCATTTCTCTTGATTTTTCTTCCTATGACAAACTCTGCACACTTACAAGAAAAATTTTAAGGTTTATATTCTAGAAATGGAATCATTTGAAATTTGGTTGATAACACCAAATTATCTTCCAAAAGTTTTCCCAACTTCATGCTCCTAAAGTGAAGAGTCCTTTTTCCCTGAACTCTCATAATACAGGATGCGATTACTTTTTTTAATGCCTCATCTTAGGATATGCTTAGAGAGGGAGAAAGGTGAGGGGGAAGGAGAGGGGGATGGATAGAGAAAGAAAAAGAGAAACACTAATGAGAGAGAATCACTTATCAGTTACCTCTGGAATGTGCTCTGCCTTGTGCTCAAACTCACAGCCTAGGTATGTACATGGTCAGGGAATCGATCCTGCAACCTCTTGGTATACCAGAAAAAGTTCCAACTAACTGAGCCACACATGGCCAGGACTGTTATTTTTCATTTCTGTGTACCTCATAGGCAAGAAATGTATTTCTGTGACTCAATTTATACTTGTGATGATTAGTAAGGCTTAAAAATCTTTTATGAAGTATTACTCCATGCATCTCTATATATATGAATTGCATGCCCTTAAGCTTAGACCATCTATCATTCATTAGGTCTTTTTCTCATTTATTCCTACAAGCTCTTTATATAGTATAATCCTCTGACTGATATACATGTGGTAAATGCTATTCCCAACTTCATCACCTATGAAGTTTATTTTTAAGTTTGAGTAATTTGAAGTTCCAACTTAGTCAGATCTGTCCATCTTTTTCATTTCTGTGCCATCCTGAAGTGACAGGCAAATGGTGAATAATGCAGGAAAGTTGTCCCCTCACCGAGTGAGACCAGGTTCCAGTAGTTCTCCATCATCACGTCCCTGTACAGGTCCTTCTGCGCAGGCTTCAGCTGCAGCCACTCCTCCTGGGTGAAGTCCACAATCACATCCCTGAACGCCACTGACCCCTGTAAGAGGAAGCGCACACTACTCACCACAGGGCCCTCCTCACAGAAGTTGGGAGCTGTGGCCAGAAGGGCCAAGAGGATCAGGGAAGAGACACAGTATGCCCCTGACCTAGCATCAACATGGTGCAGAGCTCTGAAGGGCCTGACCACTCAATGTCCTTGGTGCCTAAGTCACTGGATGGTCCTTGGAGGTACAAATAAACTATGGGGCTGTTCACCAGGAAGACAAACAACCCAACTGAAACACGGGCTAAGGGCCTGAATAGACATTTCTGGAAGAGTACGCATCTGTCGTGGACCATGAAGTATGATGCACCCTCTGCTAGTGGAGTGCCACCTGCTGGCCAATCTCTCTGTGGTCTGAGTGTCTGCTAGGGACTCTGAGCTTACACAGGCCTTCTGAGTCTTGGGGCCACCACCATGTGATGAGGGAGTAGTAGGGGGTGGTCAGTGGTTCACAGTCTGGGCTGGGGAGCCTGTGATGAAATTCTGGCTCTGTTGCACATCTCCAGCTGTGTTTTCTCAGATCACTGTCTTAACCTTTCTGAGCCTGTTTGTTCACTGGACCTCCTAGTAACAACGCCCCACTATGTAGCTGTTACAAGGTTAAATGAAGTCATGTGTGGGTGATTCCACAGTGTGGTACAGCTGCAAGAAGCTCTCAGAAATGGCAGTTCTTAATCATTTGATTAATTGGACATTTCATATATCTCTTCTATATGTCTCTTGTCATTACCACAAATCTTATGTCATTATTATTTGATTCTTTGCCTGATTCATCCTTTGGGAAATCCAAGCTAATAATTTCTTTTAAAATCACTTTCTGAATATATACTTGTTAATTTGAGAGAGAGAAAAAGGAAGGGAGAGAAACATCAATTGGCAGCCTCCTGAATGTGCCTGAGCTGAGGTGGAATCTGCAGCCTTTTCATACACAGGGCAATGCTGCATCAAACTGAGCCACATGGCCAGGGCAATAACTTTTTTTTTTTTTTTGAAAAAAGCACTTTATTGAGGTATGATTGATATACTCACGTGACTGAGGCAGCTCATTCCAGGGCTCCATCTGTTTGGGATTCTTGTCTAATGGCACAAACTACTTCACCATAAGAAAAACCTCACCCAGTTCCAAAGAGCTGAAATCAGGATCTGTTTTGTTTTAACCCTTACCTGAGGGTATATTTATTGATTTAAGAGGGAGAGGAAGGCAGAGTCAGGGAGAGAAAGAGACATTGATCTGTTTGCCTCATGCATGTCCCCGGACTAGGATTGAACCTGCAAACTTTTGGTGTATGGGATGATGCTATAACCAACTTAGCCACCCAGCCAGGGCAGGCTGTATTTTTAGAGAGAAAAAAGAATGCAATTACAGTAAAAGAGATTAAGGAAAGTAAAAATTGAACTCCAAAATTCCAAGCACACTGAAATGACAACTGCCAGGAAATCCTAAAGAATGTTGGTGAAGGAGGAAACCAAGGCAACCATCACAGAGAAGGTAACAGTGGAGACACCATGGTGCAGCCGAGTTGGGAAACAGTCAGAGTGTTCCTTGGATGGTTAAATATACTGTTATCAAAGGACCCATACTTTCCACTACTACTCCCAAGAGAAATCAGAAGCTCAAAAAAACTGCATGAATGTTCACAACAGCATTGCTGATAACAACCCAAAAGTGAGAGCAACCCAAATGTATACCACATGGTCTACCTGTACAATGGAACAGTAAACAGTAATGAAAAAGCACACCTGCCACAACACAGATGAGCACCCGAAGCATGAAGCTCAGTGAAAGTAGCCAGTGACAAAAAAAACAACAACCACGTGTCATGGGATTCCATTTATAAGAAAGCCCTAGCCAGGTGAGTCAGCTGCTTACAGTGTTGTCTGCACAACCAGAGGTTGTGGGTGCAATCCCCAGTTGGGGCACATATGGGAGGCAACCAATAGATGTTTCTCTCACACATGGGTCTTTCCATCTCTTTCTACTCCCCTTCCTTCTTTTTAAAAATAAATAAAATCTTAAAAAAAAAAGCCCTGGCTGGTGTAGCTCAGTGGGTTGAGCACAGACCTGTGAACCAAAGGGTCACCAGTTCTATTTCCAGTCAGGGCACGTGCCTGGGTTTTGGGCCAGGTCACCAGAAGGTAGCATGAGAGAGGCAACCACTCATTGATGTCCCTTTTTCACCTTCTCCTTCCCTTCTCTTTAAATAAACAAATAAATAAGTGACTGAAAAAATATCATACAAAAAGCAGGGGAAAGATTTATGACCAGTCCTGGTTGGGTGGTTCAGCTGGTTGGAGCATTGTCCTATACACCAAAAGGTTGCAGGTTCAATCCCAGGGCTGGGAGGAATGTTGGGGGCAACCAATCTATTTTTCTCTCTCACATCTGTGTTTCTCTTTCTCTCTTTCTCTTCCCCTTTCTGTAAAACTCAAATGAACATATCCGCTAGTGAGGATGAAATAAAAAAATATATAATTATGCGCCTCCCCCATTCATTGATTTGAGATAGAGAGATGTCACTTCACTTATGATAAATTCATTGGTTGTTCTTAAATGTTCCCTGATCACAAATCAAACCTGTAACCTTGGCATATCAAGATGATGCTCTATCACACTGAGCTACATGGCCTGGATCATGAATGTATTTATTATTGTAAAGCATTTCTTGCATAAAAGGAAATATAGAGAAAAATACCACAAATAGCCAACCACTAAAACATCATAAAAACATCACAGCAAGAGCTGGGGACATGCATAGGTCCCTCTGTACAGATCTCCTCCTCCCATCCCCTGGGCATTTAGTCTCTGCCTGCTTCTGAGGTCCCTCGTCCAGCACGTCCTTCCCAAGGCCTCTGTCACACTAGTTGCAATATGTTTATACTGCCATTTCCAGGTGCCCACCGGTGTCTCTTGAGAGCCCCTAGAGTAGAACAGGTCACTCGTGAGCTATCCTGTCCTATGCAGTTGACAAACACCAGTGTCAGAACAGTAACATCCATCCTCAGGGTAGGTGCAACCCCAGTAGACTGGGCCAGGGACCTGGGCACTGAGAGGGTTTCAGGGGTCAGAGGGTCATCCCTGCCCAAAAGGCTGACTCACAGGAAAGAGGTGCAAGAGGGTGACATGACTCACCAGGGCCTTCTTGGTCAGTGGCTCGGGGAACATCCTTCCAGTGCCCATGGTGTCCAGGGGACAGGCAGGCTGTGGGTAGGGAGAGAAAGGGAAAGGCACAGTGAGAGATCAGGTGGAGGCCCACCTCACATTGCAGACAGCCACAGACACACCCACTAGGAGACAGGCAGAGAAGAACACGCATACACGTTAATAATGGACACATGTGGGGGGCAAGGGTATCTGTGGCATCCAAGGCACTCTACAAATATCTATGATTTAATCCTTATGACGCTTTATACGGTGAGGGCAATTTCTACTCACCCTATTTCACAGATGAAATAGGGCCAAAGACCTTAGGGCCAAAGACCTAAGCCACACGCCCAAGAAAACAGAGCTGCAGTTGGTGCTGGGATGACTAGGTCCGGGTTCCCAGGCTTGGCAGACACCTGACATATGCACAGTGACACGCCGCCAACACACACACATACGCACACAGCCAGTCCCACAGCCTGGAGGAAGCAACGGAACCAGCTGCCTCACTCTGCAGGGTTACTGTGAGGCTCATTGAACAGGTACATGTACGGATCCTGGAGCAGTGGGGCACAAAGTAATGACTCAGTCCAACCCTGTCCAGGTGGTTTAGTTGGTTGGAGCATCGTGCCAAACACAAAAGGTAGAGTTCAATCCCTGGTCGTGGACCAGGCCTACGTTGCAGGTTTCATTCTTCCCCCATCCTTGGAGAGGTGCTAGTGGGAGGCAACCGGTTAATATTTTTCTCTCTCTAAAATCAATAAACAAGGCTTCCAGTCAAGATGGTGACGTAGGCAGATATGGCTTGCCTCTTCACACAACCACATCAAAATTACAACTAAAATATAGAACAACCATCACTCAGCAATATCAGAAATTGAGTTGAATGGAAGTTTGATAACTACAAAATTGAGTTGAATAGAAGTCTGACAACTACGGAATTCAAGAAACCATATCCATCCAGACTGGTAGGAGGGGCACAGATGCAGAACAGAACTGGCTGGCCCCACACCCATGTGGATAAAAATTTGGGAGGCATTATCTCAGGAACAAGGAGTCCCAGACCCACACCAGGCCCTCCAGCCCAGGATTCCAATGCCAGGAAGATAAGTCCCCACAACCTCTGGCTGAGAAAACCAGTAGTGATTTAGTCGGTGAAGGAGGCTGCTGGAGCCCTAAGCAGTTCCTCTTGGGGAACCCACACACCTACTCACCTACTCAGACTTGCTCCCACTGAGCTCCAGCACTGGAGTGGCAGCTTGAAGGGCACCAGTGGTGTACAGGGAGAGACTGAAGTGTCTGGCATCAGGGTGAGTAGAGGCCACTGTCCCTTTGCTCAGCAGCACCCCCCACCCCCAGAGCTGATAGACTGGTGCCATATCTGAGACTCCATAAACCTGACTAACATTATGTGACCCTCCTTAGAGATTTACAGAGGCTCCACTGCACTCAATTCATGGGTTCAGCCAAGCTGCTTTTCCACAAGAATGGCTGGTCTTGGCTCCTAAATCATATCAAACAAGCAACAGCTGGCTTCGGTGAGCCCTAGCTATAGCCAGATTAGAGTCACACCTTGGCTTCACCTGGGAATCTCCAAGTCCAGCACAAGTAGCAGTCATCTTAGATCGCTTTACAGCTCAGGCAGGGTGCCCTGAACAAAACACAGGTGGGGGCTGACCTTGACCTGCACCACCCTGGAAACCCAAGGGCCAGCACACCCAGTGGACAGCTACAGACCACATCAGAGCACTACCGCCCTGCCCCTGCACAGCTGATCCTCCACAGATGGCAGAGGTTTGTGGTCAGTGGTCACAGCCAGACCTTGCAGCTGACTAATCCCTGACTAGTCCTGAGTAAATCCCTCCCATTGATCTGCCAACAGCAACCAAGATTCAACTACAAGAGGAGGGTATACTCAGCCCACATGAAGGGCACACCTAGATTACCCAGTTTGGATGATAGGGGAGGCTGTGCCCCTGGGTCCTACAGGACACCTACTACATAAAGCCGCACTACCAAGACAGAGAGTCAAAGCAGCTCTACTTAATGCATGGAAACAAACACAGGGAGACTGCCAAAATGAGGAGACAAAGAAACAGGGCCAAGAACAGATCAAAATTCCAGAAAAAGAACTAAACAAAATGGAGATAAGCAATCTATCAGATGAAGAGTTCAAAACGCTGGTTATAAGGATGCTCAAGGAACTTAGTGAGGACCTCAACAGCATAAAAAAGATCCAGTCAGAAATGAAGGATTCACAAATTAAAATAAAGAACAATTTACAGGGAAACAACAGTAGAATAAATGACACTGAGAATTAAATCAATGATTTGGAGCATAAGGAAGCAAAAAACCACCATGTAGAACAACCAGAAGAAAAAAAGAATCCAAAAAAATGGGGATAGTGTAAGCAGCCTATGGGACAACTTTAAGATGTCCAACATTCACCTCATAGGAGTGCCAGAAGGAGAAGAGAAAGATCTGGAAACTGGAAATCTATCTGAAAAAATAGTGAGTGAAAACTTCCCTGGCCCTGGCTGGTGTGGCTCAGTGGATTGAGTGTCAGCCTGCAAATCAAAGGGTTGCCGGTTCAATTCCCAATCTGAGGCACATATCTGTGTTGTGGGCCACGTCCTCAGTAGGGAGCATGTGAGAAGCAACCACACGGGGGTGTTTCTCTCCCTCTCTTTCTCCCTCCCTTCCCTTCCCTAAAAATAAATAAATAAAATCTAAGAAAGAAAACTTCCCTAATTTGGTGAAGGAAACAGACATGCTAGTCCAGGAAGCACAGACAGTCCCAATTATGATGGATGCAAAGAGGCCCACTCCAAGACACATCATAATCAAAATGCCAAAGAGAGAATCTTAAAAGCAGCAAGAGAAGTTAGTTACCAGATGGTTGCCAGATGGGAGGGGGGAGGGGGAGAACAGGTGAAGAGGTGAGGGATTAAGAAGTATAAATAGGTAATACAGAATAGCCAAGGGGATGTAAAGTACAGTATAGGAAATAGAGAAGCCAAAGAATTTATATGCATGACCCAAGGACATGAACAATGGTGTAAGGATTGCCTGAGGGAGTAGAGGGTGCTGGATGGAGGTGGGGGCAACACAGGAAAAATCAGGACAACTGTAGTAACATAATCAATAAAATATTATTTTAAAAAATGAAAAAATATATAAACGATGTTAATTGTAGTGCTGTTCCTAGAAACAAACATCAACAAATAAACCCTGGGTAAGCAGACAGAGGGCTGGGAGTTCATTCTAAACTTTGAAGTTGCCACCAGGAAGCAGGAGTTATGCTCCTGGGTGCAGTGACTTCATGATTTCTTTAAACAGAATTTAATTTTCAGAAATATTCTTTTTGGACTTGTGGTGTCTGACTCCTGCCCCTGCACAGTGAGGGCAACAACACGGGCTCCTTTTGTCAGATGTGGAAGGCACCAGAGTCCACTTACCCAGAAAGCACGGTGAGCCCAGGGCACCTGACACCTGTACAGGACCTTGAAAATATCATCATTTCTTATAAAATTGTAAGAGAAAAAGCCAATCTAATCCAGCCCGGACCATATTTGTCCATATAGCAATGCAATCACAACTTTAACTTCTACCTTATTTAAAGGGATGTCACAAAGGTACAGTGGCCCGAAAGTGACCTGTGCATGACCTGGTGACCTCTGAACCCAGTGTGGTCTCAGATCTGTGGCTCCAGATGCTCAAGCTCCTCCTCCTCTGTACAAGCTTTGTAGCATTTCCTGCCATACATTGTTTCCAAGGGAAACAAGGATTTGCCATCTGTGGGTTGGTGTGAAGGCTCTTGAACCCAGATGTCTGAGTATGGAGTTGGGTGATTCATTTAAAGTCTCGGAGCCTCAGTTTCCCCATCTGCAAAATGGGGGTGGTGAGGGTCCCTACCTCAGACTTACTGGGAGGCTTATAAAATGCCCAGAACAATACCCTGAGCACCCAACACACCCTCCCTGAACAAATCCACCCAGGTCAGCAAGGAATAGTTCTCTGACCCTCTTTCTTGACTCCGCACCTGGCTACCACACACGTCCTACCCTCCCAGGGCCAGGGGAGGCTCTAAAGGCAGGAAGGAGATGGGCTCTGGGGCCCTCAGGCAGGCAGCTCCGCCAGGCCCGTCTGTCCACCCGCGACTCACCCACTCACACATGTCAGCCATGGCCAGAGACAGAGGCCCAGGTGCACACAGACTGGGGAAGGCTCGGCCAGGAGAGACGCACCACACACGCACACACACACACACACACACACACACAGCTCCCCCGCACCCCCCGCACCCACACAGACACACAGGCCCAGAGGAAGGGACCAGACACCGGTGGGCACCTGGATGGCGTCTTCAGGCTGAGACACCGCGGACGGAAACAAAGGCAGACACGCACCCAGACGCAGACACGGACGGACCCCGGAGAGACAAAGACAGGCAGCCGACACAAACACACACATAAGCAAAGGCGAGCGAGACACAGGTGGCCTCCCGGGCACACGCAGTGCCAAACCCGGAGACACACCAAGACAGCCCGAGAGTTTGAGCCCAATACACACACACACACACACACACACGACATCATCTTTCCTCGCATCACCCCGTCCCTTCCCCGGGCCGCACACTTTCTTCTCTCTCACCTGCCGAACTTCAGCAGGACTTACCTCACGCCTTCCTCAGAAAAAAGACTGGCGGGCGCCCAAACCCCCTGCGCACTGCGCCTGCGCGCACTCACAGCTGTATTTCCCAGAAGTCCGCTTTCTATTGCCTCCCGTCGCCAACTATCGGGCCTCCGGGTAGTGCGAGTGTTGCTGGCGACGCTGAACGCTATTGGCGGTTGCGCCCGGCTCTGTATCCCAGAAGATCCCGCGGCAACGAAGTCGAGACGGCGGGGCTCGAGAGGGATCTGGGGAACGGACGGACTGGGGAGCGTGGAGCGAGTGGGCAGAGGGAGTAGGGCCCGGGACTAGGGGGTGGCGGTTGGGGGAAGGCTGAGAGAAGTGCGGGGAGGTGGTGAGGGAGGAATGCAGAGGGTCAGAGAGTAGGGAAATTGCAGGGAAAAAATGGGGCCTTGGGTAGATAAGGGGAAAGAAACTAGTCCCACTGCAGAAATGCTGCTGTGCACCCAGGGGTCCTAATGGTCGTGCTGACTTACGGAAAATTTGTAAAGCGTGCAGAGAAGCAAGAAAGCAAAGGATCGTTACCAGCAAAGAAGTATTAGTCCTTTGCGTTGTCGGCCAGGCCCTGTGGTGGGCATTATATTTACAAAACCAAAGTGGGGGTTCCGTTGCCCAATACCCCAAATAGGCCACTTCTAGAGGCAGAGGCTGGTGAGAATGGAAAGAGATTTGTCATTCAGATGCTACAGGGTCAGGGAGAATGGCAGACTTTTGTTTCAAAGCCCTTCCCCTCCGGGAAGCTCCAGGAAAAACCCAGCAGTCCTCAGCCAGAACAGAACAGAAGGCAGTGCCCAGAGTTCCTGCTCCCTTTCAAAGTACCGTCTTTTGGGAACTACAGACGGCTGCTGAGCAGTCACCTAGGCAGCTCACTCTGATCCTTGCCGTTTCGGCTTTAGACTCCCTCCTAGAACTCGCCTGGGGGGCCGGCACTACCAGCGTTCAGTCCGTTTCCAGGGCCAGAAAGATCCACAACACAACACCTATTTTGGTCGCCAGGGTTGAGAGAGCGTCTCTACCTTCTCCTGTCTTTTATATTAGTTTCAGGTTTGAGAACGGTGAGACTGACTAATGAACTGCCCAAACTTTCACACAGTGAGAGTTCAACCGCGACCAATTGCTTCCTTCCCATAGTCTATACTGACTGGTTAGTCTTCCATCCAGCATCTCCCCGCCTCCCTCACATTTTGATCTCTGGGGTGCAAGTGCCCGCCTTCCCTTGCTACCACACCCAATCTGATACCAGATGCCGGAGGAGGGCTTTTCCCCTATCCAATCATCTTGATAGACTAGCACGTGCTCAGTGAAATACTTCCTATTACTAGCATCTGGCCCAGCACGAGATTGTGCTTCCATGATAGAATGCTCGACTTTCAAAGCAGGTGCTTGGTTACCTAGGCAACATGGTCCTGCCCTCTGCCTCATCAAAGACTGGACGACAGAGATATCCTCCGGTGGCCTCTCTTTTTTTCCTTCCCGCCCTCTGGCTTCTCCCAGTGGTCGTGCTAGGCTATCAGCATCATTAAGATGCACAAATTCATTTAATCCTCGGAACCAAGCTACATTCCAGATGAGGACAGTGAAACAAACGAGAGAAGTCACAGGAGAGGAAATGGGGGTGGGGGAGTGGAAAAGTGTGTCTCCAGGCTGGGGCCTCCTTGTACCATAAACAAAGCCAAGTGCAAACGAATTTGCTGAATGTCTCAGTGACCACAACAATGCCAACGGCAGCCTCCTTAGGTGGTGATTAATGACATCTTTTCTTTTCTTTTTAAATGTTCTGCGGAGGATATGTTCATTGATTTTAGAGAGAGGCAAGGAAAAAGAGAAACGTTGGTATGAGAGAAAAATATCCTTCGGCTGCCTCCCACAGGCGCCCCACCTGAAATTAAACCTGCAACCTAGGTATGTGCCTTGACCAGGAATGGAAACTGCAATCTTTTGGTGCCCGGGATGATGCTTCAAAGCAACTGAGCCACGGAGCCAGGCCTGAACCCCCTTTTAGATATAACTGTTCCTGGCGTTGACCTAAACCTGCTGATCTGTCCGCAGTACTGAACTCGTAGACCTGGCTTTCATGCTGAGTCAGACTAGCTGGTTCTGTCTGTGATTGAATCCCTAGGCAGAACGCACAGCTCTGTCTACCTCTGACTTCTTCAAAGAAGCGGCATGCCTGGGAAAGAGCCCTGCTGCCCTCTCTGGAAACAAAGCTCTGGCTGTGAGGAGTGTGGGATGGAAGCAGATGATGGCAAAACCTGCACAGTCATTTTTAAGTGGCAGCTTTGGCTTTTAGAATGGCAGGGCCTGGCTACAACCTGACTGAAGTTATTAACACGGAGTTTCTAAAGAGTTCTGTGGCAAAAAAAAATGTATCCCCCTCAAAAAAGAAAACAAAAGACCGATGTGTCAGGATTCAGGATGATGGCTACCTTGGCTTGGGGAAAATTGAGGGAGTGCTATGTAAGGATATGTGAGTTATTGGCAAAGTTCTAGTTTTTATGTTGGGAGGTGGATCAAAGAAGGGCATTATTGTGTATTTACAAGAATATAGCATGGCTATACTTTATGCTAACTCAGATTATAAACATTTGAAATCATGTTGCAGTGGCATTTGTTTTGAGTGACATGAAGCCTTGCAACTTAAAATTTCCTAAAAATCCTTACTTTTTAAAAAAGTTTATTTATTTTTAGACAGAGGGGACAGGAAGGAGAAAGAGGAACATCTTTGTATGGTTGCCTCTCCTGCACCCCCTACTGGGGACCTGGCCCACAACCCAGGCATGTGCCCTGATTTGAGAATCGAACCAGTGACCCTTTGGTTTGCAGGCCAGTGCTCAACCCACTAAGCCACACAAGCCAAGGCATATCATAGCATATTTAATAATGATAGTGAATATTTCATAGTAAGAGGCTGAGCCACAATGGGCATTGTAATTATGGGATGGGGAATGTTAACTGGGTTCAATCTATGGAGAAGAAAAACAGGGTAAATCCCCCCCACACACACCAATTCCTAAAAAAAGGCAGGGGGACTGGGAATGGTGCCCAAGGAGAGGAAGGCAGTTTTTGAGGCACACTGCATATCAAAGGCAGATTAATAGCTCTTGCCTTCCTGAAGGGCAGAGGTGGAGGAGGAGGCTACTGCCTGTTGCAAATTGTCAACCTGACTGTGAGGAAGTGAGCAGGCAGAGGGATTCATGACAAAGTAGAGGGAGCTCATATAACCACTGTCTGAGCTGTCTGAGCTGTGGGGGCCCAGATGCTTCCCCTTGGACTTACAGATGCACATGCACCTGGGCGCAGCTGGGAAACTTGAGCTGACTAAAGATAGCAGCTCAAAGAGGGTCAAAGTGACTGGGGAACTGACAAAAATGGCGAACACGAGGCACCCATAGGAAAAGATGGATACTCCCACTGGCTTCCTGCGCACCTGAGATTTTGGGACAGCTTTTAAAAGTTAACACAAGTTCTCTCACGCTCTCTCTCCCTCCTGTTCTGGGTATGGACACTTGGTAAGAAGTTACTCTCTTGCCCTGGCTGGTGTGGCTCACTAGATTGAACTCAGGTTTATGAACCAAAGGGTTGCTGGTTAGATTCTCAGTCAGGGCACATGCCTGGGTTGCAGGCCAAGTCCCCAGTAGAGGATGCAGGAGAGGCGACTACACATTTGATAGTTCTCTTTTCTCCCTCCTTTCCCCTCTCTAAAAATAAATAAAATCTTAAAGTTATTCTCTTGCTTTGAAGCTTGGTGCAAGCTCTCTCACTGGGCTTTTGCCATTTGGACATTCTGGGCCTCTGTCCCTGCTCTGGGAATGGACGGGACCACTTCTGGGACCAGGAGATGCCAGCCCCACATGGATGGGCACCTACTTCTGGAGGCAGGGTCTCTCAGGGGGATGTGTGCCTCCCTGGGCTCCAGCATGTAGGACACCATGATCCAGTGCAGCACAGCACACGGCTTCTGGACCACTCCATGGAGACTGAAAACAATGCATCCCAGATCCTGAGAGCTGCTGCCAGGCGATGGTGACTCTGAAACCCTCAAGTGCACATTCCAGAGAGGATGGAGATCTGTTTGCATGACCAGCTTAAGGACAGATAAGGAAATGAGGAATTTCTGGGCATAGTTTTTGGCTTGAAGTCTTTTGGGGAGCAAGGGAAGTTTTGGGTCTTGTGGGAGAGAAGGGCTCAGAGCAGGAGTGTTCTCACCACCCCCAAGGTTGGAACCCTGTTAATAAAAACCCATTTCCTTCAATGCAAATAAATAGTAGGGTAACATGGATTCAAGGCACCAGGCAGTAGTGTAGCAGTCTCTGAGTAGTATTTAATTACCCATTTATTAATATAGCACTTTATGTATTATTTTATTGTTGACAGAGCACCATTTTTAGGTTTACTATTTATTATTAATAACAGATCACTATCATCATCAATATCAAAATCATTAAGTACACCATGGCTAAGGCTGAGGGTAAGGCATAAATTGGATAATGTGCCCACCACACTGAAGGCACTTTATTTTCACAAAATTCCAGCCAGCATGGAGTGGGTGGGGGATTGCTTGTGATCTGAGGATTGTTCTCTTGTAACTGAAACAGCCCTGTGGGGAGGGGGGCCAGCCTGGCTGGGTTTCTGGAAAGGGGGCTTTCCCCATCTCTGACACATAGTCTGGGCCCAACCTTCTAGTCTCACCATTCCCAAGCCAGGAAGCCAGGGCTGGGAGGTGCAGGTAGCCTCATACTTGGGGCAGGATTGTGAGGTTCCTATTGAGTGTTCATATCCACTCCCCACAAGCGCTAACACTCATTTTGACAGGACAATTGCTACCTGTTATCTTTTGCATCTGACAACTATTTGTAGTAGCGCAGGTCTCCAATATTAAAGGATTTATTTAAACTGCCCTGGCTGGTGTGGCTCAGTGAATTGAATGCTAGCTTACAAAACCAAAGGGTCACTGGTTTGATTCCTAGGGATATGCTTGGGTTGCAGGTCAGGTCCCTGGTGGGGGGCATGTGAGAGACAACCAGACACTGACATTTCTCTCCCTTTGTTTCTCTGTCCCTTCCCCTCTCCAGAGATAAGTGAATAGAATCTTTTTAAAAAAGTATTTAAACAAAATACAACATACCACTTTGAGAAACTTTGGCAACTGAAGCCAATACTGTTATTTCCTAATACTGAATAAAAATTATTTTCCCCTCACAAACTAAGTGACTAATACTGGTGCAGAGAGGCTGGGTGTGGGGAAAACAAGGACACCCACAGATGGTGACACCCTAATCTCTGGAGTAGATTTAGCCCTGTATGACAAAGGGAGAATGTCCCCATGGAGCCCACCTTCCCTTCTTCCTTTCTCTTCCCCCTCCTCTACTTGACTATCCAGGAGATGGAGACCCAGAGACACTAAATGTGTTGTCCAAGCTCTTAAAAACAGTTTACTAAATCTCATTCTGGAGCCACAGTGGCCTGGCCACATTCCCAGATACTAGACCTGTTGGGGGACTTGGTTTCCACTGGCCCTGTGGATGCTCTGGAAGCAGCTTGTGTGCATGGTGTGGCCTCTCCCCAGCACCCACGTTCCTAAGACCCGTCTGGGCAGGACTTCTCTACAGTCCCACCTGTGGGCTCCAGTATCAAGTCTGGCACTGGCACATAAGCTCAGCCCACAGGTGCAGATTCTGAGATCCAACGTGGCCACTGCTACGTGTGCATCTTCCTTTAATGTTTGTAATGTTTATGTTCCAGCTGAAGGTTTTCCTGCACTTGCCACACAAGTACAACTTCTCTCCTGTGTGGATCCTCTGGTGGAAGGTAAACAAGAAATGCCTGATAAAGGCCTTGCCACACTTGTAGAGTATCTTGCTCATGTGGTCGACCTGGTGCATCTCCCGGGATGATCATGTTGTAAAGCGCATCAGGCAGATGGAGCACTCACAGGGGTTTGCCCAGTTATATCTGAGCTTGTGGTTGGTGAGGGTCCACTGCCAGGTGATCTGCTTTCCGCACATGGTGCAGAAGGACTTCTCCCCAGTGTGCTTTCTCTGTTGCAGGGTGAACTGCGTTTTCTGGCTGAACGCTTTTCTGTAGCCCCTGCATGTATATGGCCTGTCCTAGCTGTGGATACACCGGTGGATGGTGAGGTACAATGGCCAGGTGAACTGTTTCCCACACACAGTGAGTGGGAAGAAATTCTACCTGGAGTGGATTTGTTACAGCTTCTTCAGGGGCGAGTTACAGCTGAAAAAAGCCTAGCAGCACTCCATGCACTCACATGGCTTCTCCCATTGTGTCTCATCTGGTGCAGTATGAAGTTCGCATCCTGGCTAAAGGCCTTGCCGCAGTATTTGCACTTGAAGGGCTTCTCCCCGGTGTGCACACGCTGGTGGATGGCAAGTTTTGAAGGCCGGGTGAACTGCTTCCCACATGTATCGCACAAGAAGGGCTTCTCCCCAGAGTGAATTAGTTGGTGGTTCTTCAGGGACGAGTTACATCTGAAAGCCTTGCCGCAGTCCTCACATGTGTACGGCTTCTCCCCAGTGTGGATGCGCTGGTGGATGGTGAGGCTCAACTGATGGGTGAACTGCTTCCCACACATGGAGCACAAGAAGGGCTTCTCCCTGGTGTGTGTCCTCTGGTGCAGCATGAGGTGCCCCTTCTGGCTGAAGGCCTTGCCACAGTCCCCACATGTGTATGGTTTCTCCCTGGAGTGTGTCCTCTGGTGTACGATGAGGCTCTCGTTCCGTGTGAAGGCCTTTCCACAGTCCCTGCATACATACGGCTTTTCCCCAGTGTGCGTCCTCTGATGCGCGATCAGGTACTCGTTCCGCGTGAAGGCCTTGTCACATTCCCCACATGTGTAAGGCTTCTCGCCTGTGTGCATCCTCTGGTGAACAATGAGGTTCCTGTTCTGGCTGAAGGCTTTCCCACAGTCTTCGCACATGTATGGCTTCTCCCCAGTGTGAGACCTCTGGTGCCGGATGAGATGCTTGTTCTGGCTGAAAGCCTTGCCGCAGTCTGCACACGTGTACGGCTTCTCCCCAGTGTGCACACGCTGGTGGATGGTGAGGCATGATGGCCAGGTGAACTGCTGCCCGCACGTGGTGCACATGAGTTTCTCCCCAGTGTGCATTTGCTGGTGCTTCTTCAGGGACGAGTTACTGCCAAAAGCCTTCCCACATGCCCCACAGGCATACGGCTTCTCCCCAGTGTGCACACGCTGGTGGATGGTGAGGCATGACTGCTGAATGAACTGCTTCCCACAAGTGGTGCACGAGAGGAGCTTCTCCCCTGTGTGGATTCGTTGGTGCTTCATCAGGGATGAGTTATAGCCATAAGACTTGCCGCAGTCCCCACACTTGTAGGGCTTCTTCTCTGCGCAGAGTTGGGTGGGAGCACGGAGGCTTGAAGCACCTGAGTTCTTCCTACACATGGTGAATGGGTGCCTTCCTGCTCCTCTAAGCCCTTCCAATCTTGGTAGGGCCGGAGAGGGGCTTTGGTGGACGAATGCCTTAAATTCACGACATACCGGGGCCAATGCCTGGGACATGTCCAACTGTCCCGGATAGGATGCGAGGCTCCCATGTCGCCACCCCAGCTGGTCACCCTGTGTCCCCGCTCCTTCAGAGGCACAACCCCGGGCACTATTCCTTATGGGTCTTTCTGCCTCCACCACAAGGGTTGGTCTCTCTTTCCAAATGTCCTCCTGTGGGTCCATTTCTCTCATGTCAGGTCTAGTCTCCAAGTCTGAGAAGAGAAAAAGAGATGACAACACACATGCAGTTAACAGCACTGGGAGGGAGGATCTTCCCAAGACACAAGGCATGGTCTGAGAATGGGGGACAGCCTCTCATGGGGTCAGAAGGAGAAGGGAAGCAGTGAGCTGAGACAGTGAGGTATAGGGAGGTGAGCAAAGAGGTAGAAAGGTCCCCTTGGAGTGGGTGCAAAGGTGGACAGTGGAGTTCAGAGCTGGGCAGACAGACCCCTGGAGAGAAAGAGGAGGAAGGAGGAATAGATCAAAGGTTCTCTCAAAAATAGAGAGGGTTCACTGCACCTGCTTCCTTACTTCCATGCCTCAACCTGGACACCCCCAGCCAGTTGTGTTTCTCAAAACACTGACTTTTATTAGAAATGATAAAATAACACCTGACTGTCATGTAGCTGTGCTGGTTGTCCTCTGTGTCCCCACCAGCCAAAGTAACCTCCTGCTTCCCACACTGCCCAGGAGTGGACAGCCCCAGGTGCTGACTCCTTTCCCCTCCTCCCTCCCTGCTGACCGCAGCTGCTCCAGTCCCCTCCTGCCTGTGTCCTGTGGGTTCCTCAATCTCCGTCTCTGGTCTGGGGGCTGTCCTGAGTTCCAGACTCTGTGCACGGACCTTAGGGTTTGAGCCAACATCAGAAAACTGTGAAATCTTATAAAAAACTCTCATTAAAAAAGTGAAGACACTGTCATATGGAGCCTTCCTTCCTAAGAGGCAACTGAAAAAGCAGGAATGGTAAGCAGCTGTCTCCCTTTCCCCATTTAAGGCCACACTGGACCAACAACCCCCGAGTTTGAGACCCTTCCACTGAACCACAGGAGTCTGAGACACACTAGGGACATAACTAGCCACTAACACCAGAGACTGGGCATAGAAGTCTTAGTTGTGAACATGGTTAGAAGTGCAATCCTCAAAGAAAGTAATTGATAAACTGGACTCCATTAAATTACAAGGTTCTGCTCATCAACAAATGGTGCTGGGGCACCCGGATACCCACATTCAAAAGAGTGACGATATGTGGTGATGGGAGGTGATGTGACTTTGGGTGGCGGGCACACAATGCAACATACAGATTGCTTATCCTAAAAATGTACACTTGAAACCTATATGATCCTATTAGCCAATGTCACCACAATAAATTTAACTTTAGTAATGTTTAGTAAATTTAACACTGATATTAGACCCATTTTATATCATTTACAACAATAAACTCAAAACGGACCAAAGACCTAAATAAAGGACTACAATTGTAAAATTCTCAGAACAACAGGAATAAATCCTCATGGTCTTTGGTTAGGCAATGAGCCCTCAGATACAACACCGAAAGTACAAGCAACAACAAAATAAATGAACTGGACTCCATCAACCTTAAAAACATTTGCATTCCAAATGATGCCACTGAGGAAATAGTCTCCCAACAGAATGCAACAAATAGTTGCGAAACATATAACTGTTAGCCCTGGCTGGTGTGGCTCAGTGGATTGAGCACTGGCTGTGAACTAAAGGGCTGCAGGTTCGATTCCCAGATCAGTGCGCATGCTTGGGTTGTGTGCCAGGTCCCGGTAGGGGGCGCATGAGAGGCAACCACATATTGATCTTTCCCTCTCTCTTTCTCCCTTCCTTCCCCTCTGGCTAATAGTAAATAAAATCTTTAAAAATATATATCTGTTAAAACAGTTGTACGAAGAATTAACAAAAACAGAATATGTAAAGAACTTTCCATATTGAATAATATGGAAGCAAACAACCCAACTAAATAAACAGGCAAGACTTGAACCAGACACTTCACTGAAGAGAATATACTGATGGCAAATAAGCACCCGGAAAGGTCCTCAAAATCAGCTGCAAGCTGGGTTGTGGTAAGACTGCACATCCACGAAAATGGCTGCAATGAGAGATACCGAGCATGCTCAGTTGTGACAAGCACAGGACACAATACAATTTCGGGCACCTGCTGGTGAAAATAAAAAACAACACAATTCCTTTGGAAAAAAGGTTGGCAGTTTCTGAAAAAGTGAAAAAAGTACCTCTGTATGCCCCAACTATCTTCAACAGAATGGACAGATTGTGTCTACAGAAAAATGTCTTGAACTGGAAATGGCCCATACGCTTATCATTAAGTGAAGGGATAAACACATCGTGGTCTCTCCATAAAGTGGGCTATTACTCAGAAATAAAAAGAAGTATTGACTTGGCTGGGTAGCTCAGTTGGTTGGAGCGTCGTCCTGTGCACCAAAAGGTTTGAGTTTGATCCCCAGTCAGGGCCCATGTCGGGGGCAAGTGATTGATATTTCTCTCTCATCAAATAAATTATTCTCAGGTGAGGATTTAAAATTTTTTTTTAAAGATTTATTTATTTATTTATTTATTTATTTATTTATTTATTTATTTTAGAGAAGGAAGGGAGGGAGAGAGAGAGAGAGAGAGAGAAATATTAATGTGCGGTTGCTGGGAGTTCTGGCCTGCAACCCAGGAATGTACCCTGGCTGGGAATCGAACCTGGGACACTTTGGTTCCCAGCCCGAGCTCAATCCACTGAGCTACGCCAGCCAGGGCTGTAAAATTTTTTTAAAAAGAAAAAATGAAGGAAACTATTTCTCTCACCAGGAATATGCTTAGGGATGGAGGAAGGGGATGGGGAGGGAAAGCAGGAGAGCAAGAGTGAGAAAGAAAGAGAGAGAGAAACACTGATGAGAGAGACATTGAGTGGTTGCCCCGCATATGTGCCCCACCTGGGGATCAAACTCACAACGTAGGTATGTATTCTGACAGGGAATTGAAGCCGCAAACTTTTGATGTACGGGACGAAGCTGCAAGCAACTGAACCACATCCAACAAGGAACGTTAATCTTTTTCATCTCTGTGTCTCTCATGGATGAGAACTTTATTTGTGACTCAACTGGTACTTCTTTGACTATTAGCAACGGTTAAAAATTTTTTATAAAGTATAACTCCATACATTTCTACATCTATGATTTGCATGCTCATAAACTTGGTCCATTTTTCTATCATTCTAGTATATTTTCTAGTTTATTTCTAAGAGCACCTTATGTATTTAAAATACTCTGACTATTGTAATGCAGTAAATACTCTTCCTCACTTCATCATCTATCAAGTTTATTTTTAGCTTTGAGTAATTTGAATGTTCTACCTATTCAGACCTGTGCATCTTTTCTGTTTCTGTGCCATCCTGAGGTGACAGACAGATGGTGAGTGAAACAGTGAAGCTTCCTCCTTACCCAGCGAGACCAGGTTCCAGTAGATCTCCATCATCACGTCCCTGTACAGATCCTTCTGTGCAGGCTTCAGCTGCTGCCACTCCTCCTGGGTGAAGTTGACAATCACATCCCTGAATGCCACTGGTCCCTGTAAGAGAAAACACACACCACTCACTGCAGGGCCCTCCTTATAGAGGTCAGGAGATGTGGCCAGAAGGGCCAAGAGGATCAGGAAAGCACAGAGGATGCACCTGATGGGGTGTCTACAAGGTGCAGAGCTCTGAAGGGCCTGACCACTCAGTGGCCCTGGTGCCTAGTACACTGGATGGTGCTCAGTTGGTAAAAGAGGAAACTAAGGCAGTGATCACAGAGAAGGTAACCGTGGAAACATCATGGTGTAGTGCCTTGGAAAACAGTCAAATCAATCCTTAAATGGTTAAACACTGTTATCAAAGGACCCATAGTTTCCTCTCCTACACTTAACAGAAATGAGAAGATCAAACAGAAAACTGTACATGAGTGTTCATGGTAGCATTACTAATAGAAACCAAAAGGTGGAAACAACCCAAATGTACACATGGTCTACTTGTACAACGGAACAGTATATACAGTTATTAAAAAGCACACCTGCTACAACATAGATGAACATCAAAGAGATGAAGCTCAGTGAAAGGAGCCAGATAAAAAAAAAAACCATGTTGTGTGAATTCATTTATAGAAATGTCCAGCCCTGGCCAGGCTGCTCAGTTGGTTGTAGTGTTGTCCATACACCAAAGGTCAAGGATGGGGTCCCAATTGGGGTGCATATGGGAGGCAATTGATCAATATTTCTCTCACACACAGAAGTTTCTCTCCCTCTTTCTCCTTCCCTTCTCTCTAAAAATAAACACTTAAAAATAATAAAAACCTTCAAGAATATTAAGAGTCCTGCAGACCAGCAAAGCATATGATAATTTACCCACCTACATATAATTGGTGAATAAACACTTTCTAAAAACCAAACCTCACTAATACCACAAATGATGTTACTCAGAAAGAGATCATGTGACCTCAGCTGTCACTTACCACATGGATAGTTTATACCCCTTGTTATTTATATCCAATCACCAGAATAAGAACAATAGCCAACATGAAACAGAGGCAGCTCCTCCTACATGTGGGTGGGAGAATAAACTGTCCAAACCCATAACTAAGACTTCTAAAGGCCTTAAAAATACCCACCAGAACCCAACCTTCCTCTACAGGGAATCTCCCTTAAAGAAATCAGACAGTCCTGGCTGGTGAGGTTCAGTGGACTGAGTGTCAGCCTGCAACCAGAAGGTCACCTGTCCGATTCAGTCAGGGCACATGTCTGGGTTGTGGGCCAGGTCCCCAGTTGGGGGGTGAGCAAGAGGCAATCAATCCAGGTTTCTCTCACACACCGATGTTTCTCCCCATGTATACACCCTTCCTCTTCCTCTCTCTAAAAAAATAAGTAAAATCTTTACACAGTTGTTCTACCTCCCATAATGAAAAAAAAAAATGCCCTGGCTGGTGGGGTTCAGTGGCTTGAGTGTAAGCCTGTGAACCAAAAAGTTGCTGATTCAAATCCCAGTCAGGGCACATGCCTGGGGTGTGGGCCAGGTTCCCAGTTGGGTAAGTGTGAGGCAACGGATTGATATATCTCTGGCACATTGATGTTTCTCTTTGTCTCTTTCTCCCACCCTTCCCCTCTCTCTAAAGATAAATAAATAAAATCTGGGGGGAAAAAAAGAAAGAAAATGTAAAAAATATCATACAAACTGGAGGGGAAAGACTTATGCCCCATCCTGGCCTGGGGGCTCAGTTGTTTGGAGCATTGTCCAAATCATTGACCTTCCCCAGGAAGGTTGCAGGCTTGATCCAGGGTAGGGGCACATGGTTCTCTCTCACATCTGTGTTTCTCTGTCTCTCTAAAATTCAATGAGCCTATCCTCTGGTGAGGATAAGAAAAACATTTATGCCCGGACATACATATACTTTAGTGATTTGAGAGAGAGAGAGAGAGATGTTCTTCCACTTATTGATGTATATGTATACATGTATATCTTTACATGTATATCTTTTTTATTGTAAAGTATCTCTTGCATACAAGGAAATTTGCAGAAGAATATCACAAATAGCCACCGACTAAAACAAAACTTCAGGGTGAGCCAGGGACATTTTTGGGTCACTCCCCAGAGACGTCCTCCAATTATCCCCTGGACAATTTAATGCTGTCTATTTCTGAAGGTCCCTTGTCCAGCATGTCCAGTCTGGTGCCTCTGTCACACAAGATAGAACATATTTAACCGGCCACTTATAGGTGCCTGCTGGTGTCTCCACACTGATCCCAGTGTTGGATAGGTCACTCCTGAGCTATTCTGTCCCATGTGGTTGACAAAAGCCCTTGTCAGTAGCGTACTTTCCTTCCTCAGGGAGGGAGTACACAACTCCAGGAGACTGGGCTATGGGCCTGGGCCCTGAGTGGGGCTCAAGAGAGGCAGAGGGTCACCCTTGCTGGGCAGCCTGACTCTAAGGAAGAAGGTACTAGGGAGGGACATGACTCACCAGGGCCTTTGTGGTCAGCGGCTGGGTGGCCATTCTTCCAGTGCCCATGGTGACTGGGGAAAAGGAAGGCTGAGGGCAGGGGGAGAAAGAGGTCACGGTGAGAGATCAGGTTGAGGCCCGACCCACAATACAAACAGGACAGACGGACACAACTACAAGACAAGCAGACAGAGACGTGCAAAACTCTCTCATAGTGAAGGCATGCGGGGTGTGGCTTTCATGGCACTCTGCAAACCCTCCAGGAAGCAGTAGTTATGTCTCCAGGTAGTGACTTCATGATGTTTTACACAGAATTTACTTTTTACAAATGTATTCTTTCTGGACTTGCAGTCTCTGATTTCTGTCCCTGCACTGTGAGGCTAACAACACAGGCTCCTTTTAACAGATGAGAAACAGACCACCAGAACAGACTTTCCCAGAAGGCACAATGGGCCCAGAGCCCCTGACACCTCTAGACGCCCTTGTATATATCTTAATTTTTTTTCAGCCCTGGCTGGGATGGCTCTGTGGACTGAGTGTGAGACTGGGGAACAAAGGGTTGCGGGCCAGGTCCCCAGGAGGGGGCGCGCGAGACGCCACCACACAGTGATGTTTCTTTCCCTCTCTCCTTCCCCTCCCCTCTCTAAAAATAAATAAAATCTAAAAAAAGAAAATATCTTAACTTTTTTTAATTATGAGAGAAAATCTAATGCAGCCCAGATTATATTTATAGCAATGCAATTACAACTATAACCTTTTCATCAATTAAGAGGAGGCTATGAAGGCACAGTGGCCCTGGAAGTGGCAAGTGCATGAGGCTGGTGACCTCTGAACCCTGTGTGGCCTCAGATCTGTGGCTGCAGAGCCGGGGGTGGCAGCTGCCCCTGCTCCTCCTCCTTTATCCAAGCTTTCTGGCATTTCCTGCTGTCCATTGTTTCCAAGAGAAACAAGGATTTGCTATCCGTGGGGTGGTTAGGGTGGGAACTCTGGTATCTGGATGCCTGGGTGTGGAGTTGGGTGATTCACTTAAAGTCTCTGAGCCTCAGTTTCCCCATCTGCAAAATGGGAATGATGAGCGTCCCTACTTCAGACTTACTGGGAGGCCTATAAAATGCCCAGAACCATACCCTGAGCACCGACATACTCCCTGAACAAATCCACCCAGATCACCATGGGGTAGGGTCTCTGACCATCTTTCTTGATCCCACACCTGGCTACCACACACGTCCTGCCCTCCCAGGGCCAGGGGAGGCTCTGAGGGCAGAAAGGAGATGAGCTCTGGGGCCCTCAGGCAGGCAGCTCCGTCAGGCCACCTGTCCAGGTGGGCCGTCTTTCCCACGCTCTCTGGGGGGCACGCCAACATATCTACACACCAGTGTCAGCCACGCCCAGAGACAGAAGCCCAGGTGCACACAGACTGGGGAATGCTCAGCCAGGAGAGATGGACCCCACACACCCAGATACACAGGCGCAGAGGAAGGGACCAGACAGGGGTGGACACTTGGATGGCGCCTTCAGGCTGAGACACCGGGGACGGAAACAAAGGCAGACACGCACGCAGAAGTGCACACAGAAGGACGCCGGAGAGGCCAAGACAGGCAGCCGACACACCCACAAGAGCAAAGGGGACACACAGGAAACCATCCAGACCCATGCGGTACAAACACAAAGCGACTGCCCGGGAGTCTCAGCCCAACACACACACACCACACACACACACAGCGACAGGGATCACCTTCACCCTCACAAACCCGCCCCATCAGCACACGCCTCTTCCCAGACCAGCAAGTTCTCTATTCCTGGACCCGCCTCGTCCGCAGCGGGAGTCACCCTCAGGACAGTGACCGAATCCCCCAAAGCCCACCGGCCACACTTCACCGTGCGGAAATGCAGCTACCCTTCCCAGAATGCCGTGCGTTGCCGCCAACGCTACCGCCTCCTTTCCCAGCGAGAGCTGCCCAACGTTCCTGAACGGGAGAGGCGGCGCAGACGGTTCCAAGTCCCACAAGCCCGCGCGCCACCACCGGGGTCATGGAGGCGGGGCTCCTGAGGGATCAGGGGAAAGGCCGTGCAGGGGAGCGGGGAGAACGGGGAGCGGGAGAGCAGGATGGGGGCCAGGGAGGGGAGTGGGGTGGACCGGCGGTGTGGGGCCAGGGAGGGGGAGGGGAGGGGTGCAAGGAGGTGGAGAGAGGGGTGGGGAGCAGAGCGAGCTGGAGGGGGGGGCGGCGGATTGTAGAAAAGGCGGGGAGTGGGTGGAGGCGAGAAAAGGTGCTGTAGCGTCTCTGCAGACTTCCTGCGTCCACTCAGAGACCCTGACTGTCGTGGTGACTTGCAGAAAATTTGTAAAGCCTGCGAAGACACAGGAAAGCGTATGATGTTAATCAGAGATGCATTAGACCTTCGCGTTATGTGCCACCCCCAGTTCTGGAATGTTATTGTTACAGAACCAAACTGGGGTTTCTGTTGCCCGCAGCCCCCAGAGGCAAGGTCTACAGGCAGAAGCTGGTGAGAAAGTAAAGAGGGTTTTCATTCAGATGCTGCAGGGTCGGGGAGAATGGCAGACTCTTGTCTCAAAGCCTCTTGCCTCCGGGAAACTCAAGGAAAAAGCTAGCTGTCCTTAGCCCAACCAGAACCGAAGGCAGCGTCCAGAGCTCCTGCTCCCATTCAAAGTATCGTCTTTTGAGAACCTCAGTTGTCCACTGAGCAGTCACCCGGGCAGCTCAGCTCGCTCCCTGCCGCTGTCCAGTTTCAGGTCCCCTCCTAGAGCTCTGAGGCGCCGAGGTCGGCCAGGTCCGGGAAATCAAGAGATACCACATTTGGGAGGTGGGCGAGAGAGCATCCCTTACTTACCCTGGGTTTATATTAGTTTCAGGTGTGGGACGGTCTGACTGCCCAATGAACTTCCCAAAGTTCCCGGTGCAGGAGGTGGGTCCACTGAAGACCAATAGCTCCTTTCTCAAGGCTAGACTGACAGGCTAGTCTTTGGTCCAGCACCTCCCGCTCTGCCGCCATTCCGACCCCTGTAATGCAGGTGCCTTGCTTTCCTTGGTACCACCCCCCAGTCAGTTACCGGAAGCTGAGAGGTGGGCTTTCCTTCTATCCAATCATCTTGATAGACTAGTACTTGATAGTATAGCACGTGCAATACTTTCTGTAACAATCATCTGGCCCAGGACTGGGATCTTCCTTCAGGATAATATGCTCCACGTTCTAGGCAGGAGTTCCTTTACCTAGGCAACGTGGTCGCCAGGACAATGAGAGATTTCCTCTGGTGGCCCCTTATGTTCCTGCCCTCTGCCTGCTCCCAGTGGTCTGGCCAGGTTATTGGTATCATTAAGATGTACAAATTCCTTCAATCCTAGAAACCAAGATACTTTCCAGATATGGGCTATGAAACAAAAGAGGAAGTCACAGAGGGAACTGGGGATCCTGGGGAGGGAAAGAGGTTCTCCAGGCTGGGGCACCTTTGTACTGTAAACAACGAAGCCAAGTGCAAATGCATTTACTGAGTGTCTTAGTGACCACAAAAATACCAACGACAGCTGCCTTAGGTTGTGATCAATAACTTCATTTTCTATCATTTTTAATCCTCAGCAGAGGATATGTTCGTTAATTTTAGAGAGGAATGGGGAGGAGAGAGAGAAATATTAATGTGAGAAACAAGCATCAGTTGCGTCCTATAGGCGCCCCACCTGGAACTGAACCTCCAACTTAGGTACGTGCTTTGACCAGGAGTGGAAGCACGCAATCTTTTGGCGCACAGGGCTCCAGGAAACTGAGCCACCCAGACAGGCACTATCCTCTTTCAGACGGGTTAACTGGCTTTGACTTAGCCAGTGTGAGCTGTCCATGGTACTGAACTGAAAGCTCTTTCCCCACCGACTTGGCTTCGGTGCTGAGTCAGACCAGCTGAGGCTGTCCGTGGTTACATCTCTAGGCAGAATGCACAGCTCTGTCTATCTGCGTGGGAAACAGCCCTGCTGTTGTCTGGAAACAAAGCTCTCTGGGCTGTGAGGAGCTTGGGATGAAAGCAGACGACGGCAAAACCTGCAGAGTCATTTTTAAGAGGCAGCTTTGGCTTTTAGGGTGGCAGGGCATGTCTACAACCTGACTGAAGTTATTAACATGGGGTTTCTCAAACATTTCTGTGGCAAAAAAAAATGTGCCCCCCCCCAAAAAAATGAAAAACAAAAGACATATGTGCCAGTATTTAGCCTGATGACTACCTTGGGTTGGGGAAATTGGAGGAGTGTTATATGGTTTTATGTGTTATTGGAAAGTTCTAGTTTTTACATCATGTAGTGGAGGTCAAAGAAGGATATCATAGTGCAGGGGTGTCAAAATCATTTTTACCAGGGGCTACATCAGCCTCATGGTTGCCTTCAAAGGGCCAAAATAATTTTAGGACAGTATAAATTTAACTACTCCTTAACTGTTAAGGAGCTGAAATTACATTTGGCCCTTTGAAGGCAATGGTGAGGCTGATGTGGCCCCCGGTAAAAATGAGTGTGACACCCCTGTCATAGCGTATTTATAAGAATACAGCATGGCACTGGCTGGTATGGTTCAGTGTGGATTGAGTGCCGGCCTGCAGACTGAAACGTCATGGGTTTGATTCCCAGTCAGGGCACATGCCTGGTTTGGGTGGGTCAGGTCCCCAAAAGGGGGCTTGCAAGAGGCATCCATCAGTGTTTCTCTCTTGCTCTCTTCCCCCTCCATCCTCTGTAAAAATCAATAAATAAAATTTTAAAAAGGAATATAACATGGCTATATTTTATGCTAACTTGAACTAGGAACATTTGAAATCATGTTTCAGTGACATTTTTTGTTTTTGGAATGGCATGAAGCCTTGCAAGTTAAAATACCCTAAAAATTCTTATTTTGTAATATGATCAATTATGTATATGGTAAACCATTTTTGTTATTTTGGTATCACTTTAGCAGGTGAAGAGATATGCCAATCATCTCTAGTTAGGGTTGGCCTTGAATTATGCAGGTTTTGAGTGGCACAAAGTCTTCAAAAATGAGCCCCTGGCATAACAATCCAGCCACACTGGAATTGATGACTGAATCGATGGATATGTTTATCCTTCTCAAAGATCTGGTCACTAGGGAAGCCACAGCTGCCTCATCACTCAGGAGAAAGACATTCATAAAACAACCACTATGTGCTCAATATTGCAAGAGACATCTTATGTGTGCCCCCTTCCCCTAAGATGCTAATTTTCATACCTCTTTAAAGGGCAGGAAGCTTTCAGGTTCTGATTTGAGCTTTTGAACAGCTAGAACCACTGAATTCTTCCCTACTTTTCTAAACTTTCATGGAGTTGTTGGCCCAGTGGGTTTTGATGTTCCAAGTTCTCTAAAGAATTTGGAATTCATTACATTAAAAATATTTATTTTTGCCCTGGCTGGTGTGGCTTAGTGAATTGAGCAGCCTGTGAACCAAAAGGTCACTGGTTCGATTCTCAGTCAGGGCACATAGCTGGGTTGCCCGCCAGGTCCCCAGTTGGGGGCCTATGAGAGGCATCCAATCAATGTATCTCTCACATATAGATGTTTCTCTCCCTGTCTTTCTCCCTTCCTTCCCCTCTCTCTAAAGATAAATAAAATCTTTTTAAAATATTTATTCTTTACTGTCTGCCTTGCTTTCTGTAATTTCATCTCCATGATGGTGGGCACTGTATGTTTCTAATACATCCCTAATTCTGCAGCTTTTAGGTGATGGTTATGAATATCAAATATTCCAAGTGTCATAATGTGGACAACTCATTAAATTGAAAATAAAGTGGGTGAGCTGAATCAAGTCCATCTGTTCACTGGATGCAGCCCATGGTCTGCCCAGTTGAGTCACTAATGATCAAGGTTGCTGTTGGGTAAGACTCTGTAGGCAAACCTCTGTTCCCTCCTCTGAGCCATCAGTGGTGGCCCAGAAGGCAGGGCTGTGTGACACCAAATAAAGACTCCTGTAAGGATCACCCCATTAAGAAGACAAATCTACTTCACTTTTTAATGTTTTACTTATTTATTTGACAGCAAGATTTGCTGTTCCACTTATTTATACACTCATTGGCTGATATTTTAAAATTTTAGGGGGAAGAAAGAAAGAGAGAAACATTGATTTGTTGTTTCACCTATTTATGGATTCATTGGTTAATTCTCCCTGACTAGGGATGAAACTGGCAACCTTAGTGTCTCAGGAAAATACTATATTGAGCTACCTGCCCAGGGACCCCCTCACCTTTTTTTTTTTTAAAGAACTACAGAGAATATGACTGTGTGGGTGAATCTATTAGTTATTGTGACCCTTCCCCTAACTGATAGACATGTGGGTTATTTTAAAAATGTGATCATTTGAGATACTGAGACGCAGTTGGAAAGAGAGAAAGAAAGTCATCAATTTGTTGTTACACTTATTTATGCACTCATTGGTTCCATCTTGTATGTGCCCTGACCTAGTACTGAACCCACAACCTTAGGTTATGGGAGCAACACTCTAACCATCTGAGCAACATGGACTGGCCCTTAAGTCATATTTATTGTTAGGCTATTGTGTCTTCACAATAGTTGGGTGACATTATTGTCTTCATTTTACAAAACCAAATAGATCTTTTTTTCTGATATTAAAAGATCTCGAGGACACATCACTGCATCAAAAAAGGCAATATGCAGAACCATTGCTGTCACCTGATGTCACTTACAAGTAAACTGAGGAACAAATGAATCAATGCCAGATATTTCTTGTGGACACAGAGATGTGCGTATGTGTATAAAAGCTTGTCAGATTCAAAACACAACAGATATATAAAAGTAAAGAACGTAAGTAGTCATGACTGGGTGGTTCATCATCCCATACATCAGAAGATTAAGGGATCAATTTCAGGGCAGGTACTTAGGTTGCAGGTTTCATTCCTGGTACATATAGGAGGTGGAGAATCGATGTTTATGTCTTTCTCT